GCCATCCTCATCATCAGTGTTGTAGCGAGCAAAGTCATTCTTCAGTACCCTTGTCTATAAAGGCAGAGAAAAAAAAGAGATAAATATGCACACAATTAGTATAAAATAATAGCTGAAATTTGCTAAGCAGAAGTGACTGCAGATGTCTTATCATATTGAAATCAAAGATGTGAACAGTGCCTTATAATATCATCATCATCATCCTTCGCAGTAACATGTTTAGACCAAAGTTGTTTCTCTCTCATTATTTAAAGAATTTCACTTGTATGCAGTATCATTTGTGATGGTGTCACAGTAAGTTACTCTGCTCTATATTATCCTAAATCTAAATGCATTTAATTTATATTAATAACATGAGACCTGACTATGATTAAAAACTTTTCTTACCAGAATAATGACCACAAATCCTAACAGGAGGAATACCAGAACCAAACTGTTGATGATGGACAGCCAGTGGATCTGAAAACAATTGACACCAATATGTTATGGCAAGGATTTCACATATCATGCACAGTACAGAAACTAGATTAGTTTCAAATGCATTTTTCTCTTCCCCCTTTTTTTACTCCATGCATTTTGCAGTAACAAAATAAGAATTTCATTTTTTTGTTTCTATTTGAATTTCTCTCTCTCTCTTTCAATTTCAACAAAACCTTAGACTCACCTCCAAGGTTTTAGGGAAGAAGCTCGTCCCTTTCACCAGTTTGTCTCTGTCACTGTACTTCAGCCTGAAATGTAGGGGAGTACGAAGGTAAGAACCACTCACCTAGCTCATTATTTAGGTTTCTAATATTTATATGTGGGGAATGGGAGTAAGAGGAAGGGAGCAGCAAAACAAGACATCTTCTAAGTTGGATGCTAATAAAAGAATAACCCTGAACAACCACAGAACAGACAATTGAAATATCACCACTAGCCAGCGCTTGATATTGTCATGTACTTACTTAGTTGGATGCCACTTTACGCTGTAAGTGAAGCGTATTTCAAAAGGTGCCACAGCGTCATCTAGATTCACTGGCTCATGCTCTTTGGTAGAGATGTTAGCATATATAATCTGGAAGACAAATAAAAAATCTTTAATGAATTGACTGCGTGAACATTTACGTCAGAGATTTTAAAAGAACTGTAGCAACAAGATACACATTGTCCTCACAGGACCTGGCAACAGAGAACGACAGTCCCTTAAGGATTGAAATGTATATGTGATGTAGTTCAAACAGTGGAACATGATTTGTTTCTTTCCCATGGCAAGATGAACATATGAAGAATACTCTGCATTAGATTTCAGTTATGTAAAAAATTTTTTGGCACAGCAAGCCATGTGATGTTTGTCAGTATTTGTTTTATTATTTGTAATGAATGGAATATTCTTCTAATGTGAATTACTAGTACAGCATGTTCATCTACGATAATAATTACACTATATCATACACATGATTCAGTCCAAACTTGTCCCTGTCCCAACTCACCTGGTCTCCATTATACTGGATATTAAAATGAATATTAGTCCACAGCTGTACTTTGTGATTGTGAGGAAGAAAACCTCCCTCTTCTAGGTGACCAAGAAAACCTCTCACTGGAATGTTGTCTGGAATACAAAATGAAATTCTGTTTTGATAGAATTCAATTAGACACTTTTTTCTTTAGAATGCTTGGTGTGTCGTTAGTTCAATGATGCATGAAAATCAAGAGTAAATATCTTTAATGAAAATAAATTATTTGTCCCAGCTTCTTACACAGTGCAAATAGTTGACTGGATTTTAAGGACAATAATTTGACACAAGTAGGCAATCATTTGACACAAGTACTTGGTAACTATGTATCTTTAACATTTGTAGCATCTTGATATAACCATTGATGAGACTGTGATGGAAATGTACCCCTGGTCTAAAAAATCTCATCCCTGTATAATTACCAAACTCACCTAGGACAAATTCAAAGTAGTACAGGTCTTCAATGGCCTCTTTGAGCTGAGCCAGGTCAGCCTCTGACAGGGTAGTCTTACACAGCTCCTGGGCAGGAGAGATGTTCTCTGAAATGTGAAAATAAGGGTTGAAAATCAGACAATGTAATGTAATGTATTTCTGGGACTGGCATCTCGCAAGGAATTTTGGCAAAAAATTGATCTATAACCCAAAATTGGTTTAAACTTTTGAAGCATTGTAACTGGGTAGGATTTTTACTCTCAGTGTTGACAATATTTTATGCAAGTGTACCACATGCATCTATTGTGGGTCAATTTAATCAATATGCTCACATACTGTACAGATGTAATATCACATAGTCTGATAAAAAAAAAAGTACTAGAATTGTACAGATATATCCGTCAGTCTTCTGCAACTACCCTTAAACATTGACCAAATTTAACATGTTCTACATTAGTATTTACAAGATCATCATCATCATCAAAACTTTAGGATCCTTTTAAGTTTTGATGGCTAATGGTGTGCAATTTCTGACAAAATAATTTCTGTATGTATGAATTATTTCTGAAATGTTCATGTCAGCTCGATAGCTACTTCAAATCTGCACCTACTTTTAAATCTGATGTCGTACAGAGACTTAGCCATTCTGTCTCCATCCAACACCTCCCCCAACGACAGGCTTTTATGTTCTATCTGGAAAAGATAATAGGAGAATTAGGATAATTACCCACATATCTCTAATACTTCTCTTTCTTATATGCTCCCTTTTTCAAACAAATTTAATTTCAGTTAATACAGCGCATTCTTCACTTTAATACCAACAGCAAGCTCTGAATTTCTCTTTATTTCTTTCTTTCCCTTTGTTGATGTATTTACAGTATACAAGGTTATTTACAGTATATCTATTTCAGAAATATGATTTAACACATTGAGTTTACTGTGCACTTACTGTTTACAGACACACATATTAAAGCACTTCCCACATTTTTCCTAATATTTTCTTCCCAATGTCAATGTTATCAAAACAGCTGATTACTTCATGACAACAGGTTCACAAACAGTAAGACATGATTATTTAATTCAGAATCTATACCCTTTACATTATCTTATACTTTTTAAAATATTTATCTTTCAGGGGCATGCTTAACAAGATTTTAAAAACAGATTTTAACCTGTTACATAAGGGATTTAAATAACTTTCAAGCATCATTTTTTATGTTTGTGACAAGTTAGTAAACTCCTGAAACAAGGCGGGAAAAAGATTACTAAATAAGCATTTTGGAACTGGAACACAAAATAGAGATATTAACTGACAACTGACATTTGTAATCCATCATCATAATAAATTTATCAAAATCAGCCAAGGTCTTTAATATTTCAGATCAGATATATAAACTGCAGTCCTGGTACATCATGCTATACTTAAACCTTGAAAATTAGTCAGTTCCAACAGGGCTGATACTTTATCAAATATTAATCTATACAAATGCTACTGCCACTTGGGTAGACATGCCTTTTTTAATTGGGTCACTTAAATCTGATATTTGCAGCCAAGAAAAAGATGCTCATTACCAGCTCTATGTATTTTTTTGTTGTTGTTGTTCTTTAACAAACCTATGAGGTAAAACTTTCACTTTTCACCTGATGTCAGTGGAAAAAAGTTACGTATCATGTCTTTAACTCAATACTTCCTTAATAATGACTGAATTTTGTTATTTAATCCACATCTCTATACAAAACAGTCAGGAAATGTTCCTATAATTAATTAACAGCTACACAAATACACAATATAAAAAAAATATCCAGAAACTCCTTGAACAATTACAGCTGCCAACTTGTACACAAAGTTTACCAATCTATATTGAAAAATATCCTTTTTATACAATATGTCTCTATCTGTTACAACCTACAATCTGTAAGCCCATTCTCCATTCTAATATATATGAGCTACAATGGAGATGAGGGTAGCTAAATGATTCAGGAAAACATGTTGCTTGCTGCATTAATTCCACATGAAATCCACGTGGCACAGTTAGTCTATATTAACTGAACAACGCCTTCTTCGTATTTGTATTCAAAGGTTATATACATTACAAAGTGACAGGACCATATTTAAACCCTGAGGGAGAGGGGAGGGGGGAAGGGAAAGTCTCGATCATAAATCACCATCTTCTCATATTTCACACAGATTAAAAACATTTCCCTTTAATTTTGGTCTCTAAATACATGTATTTACTCTGATTAAACAATATGACAAGTGTAATTACTTTCCTTATCCTTCACCTAAGGCTACACATCAAAGAGGACATGTGTCATCTCACCTATTCCCAACATTTGTCCTAACATATCTGCAAGTGTGTGATTTCCCTCACTTCAAATATAACCCATTTTTCTGACCTAAGATTTATTTCTGCCTGTGCTATTCCCAGAACAAACATACTGAGTTTTAATGTGTGAGACTGAAATCAATTATGATCTGATGTTGTAAGAAATGCTCTAATACAAAAACATGAAATGTTCTTTGTTTATACAGGAGATGTAAACACATTATAATCTACCATAATATAACTATAATATATAATTATAATATTAATTATAATACACAGTGATAACATAAAGACTGGTCTGATACTTACTTTTTGAGGCCTACATACAGGTAGCTGATAGTAGTGGTAAGTCTCATGAGGGTTAAAATATGGTCCTACTTTATTCACATACACTTCTACCTGAAATGTAAGTGAGAGATATTATTAACTATGAGCAAAAAGTTTATTTACTTCAGTGAGAAGCAGGAAATAAAAGCAAAATGCAATAAACAATACACAAGATGAACACTTCTGAATAATTCTTTTTTTTTTTTTACTTTTCTAATTTTTGAGGTGTGGTATGGAAGGGGGTTACATCTATTACTATACCTTTTGTAGTACAATATCTAAAGCTACAAACTTTTGGAATATTAAATAACAAACCACACTGCACAAAATATCAGAAGATAAATAGTAACCCTTCTATAGATTGAGCAAACGTAATGAAAATCCTGTGCAAGTAGAATCGGCAAACGTCAAGGGGGGTTATATGGTGGACAACGCGTAATTTCCATCTATCTTATATAAAGGGCGACCGAGAAATAAAAATCTGAAAGCACAGTAACAATGACGATGATACAAGCCTTGATTACAAACTACTTACTTTCGCTCCATCCTTGTATTTTTCTGCCAAACAGGACGAGAGTATTGCCAACACAACAAGTGTCCGATACACGGCCATCTTGGCGACTCTGTCCTCTATCCAATGAGATAACGCGAGATTGAAAATACTTTTGACAGTATACCATTTTACATTATAAAAATATTCTGAAAGAAGTTGATAAATGCAACAATCAATTAATATTGAAATAAGTGTTTTGATGACAATATTTTACAAATCATTTTTAAAATGACAGCGACCTTGGCACTACTTTTATTTGAATGTTATGCCGCGCTGTAATTTCTGTAAAGCTCACTGCCCTTTCTAAAAATGAAAATGAAAGAGTGTATTCTTAAAATACGTACATACAAATATTAATTAATCATATATTGTAGATGCTCTCAGAACAAATGATTTATATGTGCACTTGATTTGTGCGCATTAACATCCGTTTTCCATCCTTAGGTGTTGTCAGGCACCACTCAGTTTCTTCTTTGCATAAAATGAGTTTCTCCTTTCAACTTTTCATGGACGAAAATGACAAAACAACATAAGTAGCATATTCAGCCGAGTATACAGAAGAGCGAAAAAGTAACGGCAGATCTTAAACTGTCTGTGAAAGAAAAGGTGAGCATATGTTAGAAATGTTTGAAAACTTCGTCTGCACAACCATTGGGCACTCGCTGCTATTTCATTGCGTTTGCATTGGTCAAATGACTGATTATTTCGGAAGTATCTCCACTGAAAAATACTTGTAATTGATCTGGTGCACCCATAAAAAGTTCAAATTTCTGTTGGCACAATGTCTTTTTAATGGTCATTTATTAAGAGCCTTGGCCATTAAAATAATACAACACTGTTCTTCTGAAGAAGAGTTCTGTTGCATTAGCACTTCCATTCAAGCTTTCTGTAACAACATGTGGAAGACAACACATGAAAGATATATTGTGAAATATGATGTGATAAAATTTCATACCGAGTTACAAACTGGCGTGCAAGCTGCAATACAGAATCGGGTAGAAAGAAGATTGTTGTCCCTCATGATAATATGAAAGTTTGTTTCTGGCAGTGTATGAAATTCAAGGAAATTACTAGCCAGACCGCCGGGCAGGTAACTCTGAAAAGTTACCAGCCCGGCCATGTAGTTACCTGCCCTATTTATGATAACCCCTAGAGTTAAGAGAGGTATGCTGAGGGGGTCTAGAATGCATTCTTGGGAGAGTAATTTGGAAATGAAAGGGCAATATCATGCCTTATGCATGGAAATTTAGAAATTGTTTGGAATTTCTACTGAATGATACCTTGTCAGTGTTAGATTTAGAGGGGGTCAAGGGTTCCCGACGCCCCCCTTTTAATTTCTGTAAAAAAAAACTCACCTCTTGAAATAAGATTTTCACTAGTTGAATCATAGTTCTAAACCATACCAAATGGCACCATTCACCATCTAAAATACCAAAAATTTTCAGGGCCCTTTAGCAGTCGGGGGAGGGCGGGGGTAGTCAATTCAGTTTATGTTCACCTTGCAGGCTGTCTCATTTCTTCGTCAATAATTTATTCATAACTTTTATTCCGATTTCGTGATATAATTTGATCATAATTTTTGCTTTTTTGTATAGCAACAAGTATGACCAAAAATATATATATTGTTGTCAAATAAATCGATCTCTGTGCTAACAATAAAGAAGAAAAAATTTAGCACGTAGGGTCCCTTTGAATATCGCTTTTAAGCTTTAAAAAGCGGTCGGGAACGGTCTTGCACGCTAATGGCCCATAGACAGT